CCAGTTGAGAAATGGACAAAGGATATCAACAGGCATTTTTCAAAGGATGAAATATAAATGGCCAACAAATGAAGAAATGCTCAGGAACAATAGCTATCTCAGAAACACAAATAAAAACAACAGCGAGGTATCACCTACCCCAGACAGAATGGATATCATGCAAAAATTAAAAACTAGGAAATGACGGCAAAGATACGGAAAAGAAGGTGCTCTGATACACTGCTGATGGGAATGTGAACTGGTACAACTATCATGGAAGACAGTATGGTGATTCCTCAGAAAACTAAAAAAGATCTACCATATGACCCAGCTATGACCACTCCTGAGACTATACCCAAAGGAAATGAAATCAGCGTATGGAAGGGCTACCTGCACTTCCTGTTTATAACAGCTCAACTCACAACAGTTAAGTTATGGAAGCAACCTAGATGTCCATCAACTGATGACTGAATAAAGAAAATGTGGTATACAGAAACAATAGGACACTACTTGGCCATAAAAAAACAATGAAATCCTGACTTCTGTAACTAAATGGATGCAACTGGAAACAAATATGCTTAGCGAAATCAGCCTGACCTCAAAAGACAAATATCACATGCTTTCTTTGATTTATATAAAATATAAAAAATTTAACACGTGATTGAAACTGACATCTTTGGATCTGATTACTGTTTACTGGCCTTGTCTATACTGCTGGCGAACTGTGGTCTTTCTAATTCTACTTGTTGAACTCTTTATTTGAGGAGAGTTAAGCCTTTGACTATAAAGCAAGTTAAAAGTATATTATCTCAGGGGCCAGCGCTGTGACGTAGTAGGTGAAGCTGCTGCCTGCTGTGCTGGCATCCCATATGGGCGCTGGTTTAAGTCCCGGCTGCTCCAGTTCCAATCCAGCTCTCTGCTATGGCCTGGAAAAGCAGTTGAAAATGGTCCAAGTCCTTGGGCCCCTGCATCCATGTGGGAGACCTGGAAGAAGCTCCTGCCTCCTGACTTCAGATCAGCGCAGCTCCGGCCATTGCAGCCAATTGGGGAGTGAACCAGCGGGTGGAAGATCTCTCTCTCTCTCTCTCTCTCTGCCTCTCCTTCTCTCTCTGTGTAACTCTGACTTTCAAATAAATAAATAAATCTTTAAAAATTAATTAATTAATTAATTACCAGGGAAAACTCAAAATTTGAGGATATCTGGCCTGGGCTTTGACAGAATTTGGAAAGGAGAATTTTTAATATATCAGAAAATATTTAGGAAGAACAAACATTTATTGACATGTAGGCAATCTCAAGCTATCATTCTGAAAATTAAGAAGTTCTATCACAGCTTTTAGAAATTAAAGATATTAATTTAAAAATGAAAATAGCTTTGTGAAAGAAGGTCCTTCCAATACACACATAAACTGAGCTTTTCAATACCTTTTCATTTGATTCCATCCATCCAGAGATCCCTGCATGATCAGAATATCAGAATGAAGGAAAGTAAGAAACAGACTAAATTTAAAGCTATGGAATGAACCTATTAACCAGAATAAACAGGAGTGGGACAAATGTAACCTATTGTGTACAAACTTCCTCCCAGACTCACTGCAGGCCACTAAAACAAAGGCCAATCCTTACATCATTGTCCATGTTTCCAGAGCAGTTTAGTAGCAATAACTCCAAGATATGGTACAGCACTGGTATGTCCAAACAGATGTGAGGTATGTCCAATGTAACCTATTAAAATAATATGTAAAGCACAAAGGTTTGGCAGTTAATTTTTTTTAATCAAGGTCATATCTCTAAACAATCTCACTTTCATCCATGAACGTTCTGATACATGTTCAGGAACCACATTCATGAATTCTTTTGTACGCTAGGGAAATAGGTCTAACCATGTAGCCCCACCCTTTATCCTCATCTTAGTCTGAAAGAGATCCCTAAATAAAGGGCAAAACAGCTAGAAAAGTTAGGAAGGTACACAACTTTGCCTTATTTCCTTCTTGGGTCTCTATGATAGAAATTCAGCAAATCTGCCCTATGGGAGGAAATCACCACGTTCTAAAACCAAAGCCCTTCCTGAGGATCAAGCCCCACTGCAATAGTTGATGATAAGAATCCAGGGAGGATATTAGATCGGCTTGAGTTATGAATAAAGGCAGGGAGACACTTTCAGTTAGTCACTGCCAGTGCAGGATTTTCAAGATTACCAGGTATTACTCACTACCAGTTTCCAAGAAGGCAGCATCTAGGATGTCATAAGCTTCCTCCTCCCTCTACTCTACCCACTGCAGTGTCAAATCAAAAGTTTTAAGCAGTTTCACACTTGGACAAACATTGACTGCCACGAAGCTATCCTAATTTGACATTACCTTATTCCTACTTAGAAGGTTACAGACAATAGGGGTGGGGGGAATCAGAAGCCAGGATGAGTCCCACTTTCTACAACTTCTGGACCAAAATATAAAAATAATGATAATGACTTGTTTTAGGGCTATGATTATTAGGAATCTCTTCCTTGAATTACATAAATAAAACCCCGTAGCAGTTTCAAAGCACTTTCGAACAGTCTGACTGAATCTTTACAAGAACTCTGAATACCAATATAGCTGGTATTCACCTCCTTTCGCAGCTGACTAAAACCAAGTTTGGAGATGTTATAATTCAGTGAAGATTCACATTTACCAGATACCAGACACTGAGGTGCCAAAAATTTGCCCAAGATAGTCTCTACTGCTAAGCATTTCCAAGTCCACCAGGGAAGCCTAAGTCAACAACAACCACATCTACTGTAGCAGCCAGCATTAAAGGTGTGGAAGTGCCCTGGGAGCAGAGCCAAGTGTGGCTGTGCCCAAGTCATCACTGACCTATTTTGGCCAAAAGAAACGTGTCAGGACAGTCTGGGAGCCAGGAAAGAAGCTGGAGCTCCCTGGCCTCACTGCCTGCTGCTGTACTCTGCTGCTCTTCCCCTTAGCATTCAGCCCCTTTGCAGATTAAGTTACCTTTTCAGGTTCTTCTCCGTATTGCACAATCTTACATCCTTCACTTACTTATTCATCCCATCCATGTCTACAATGACAACAGTGTAAGTGGACTGCATAAACACTGACATACTTGTGTTGTCACACAAATCATGAAGTTCTTTAAGGACCCAATTTGTCAACTCCAAGCAAGCACTTAACAAATTTGCAAAACAAGGAATTGAGGGAATAATAGATACATGGGAACAGAAATTAAGAGCAATCTGCAAAAACATAGTTGAAACGTGTAAAAGCTAAACAGCATCTATGTGACTGCCCTTGAATGAAAAGCCTTAACAAATCCAGTACAGCAGACCCTGTCAGAACCATTCCTAATTGAGTTTTTCAAACTTCCCAACAGAATCTAACCACCAAGAATCCCCGTAGGCACACATTTCTTATTTCACTTCCATTTTTTAAAATGTGCCATATATCACAGAACCTGTTTTTCTTTTTAAGAGGGAGGGATACAGATAAGAAGAGGGGGAAAGAGAGAGAGACCATCCACTGGTTCCCTCCCCAAATATTTACAAAAGCAGGAGGCGGCCCAGATGAAATCCAAGAGCCAAGAGCAGGGACACAATGCAGATCTCCCACAGGGCAGGAGACAGCACCTGTAGCCTCTGGGGTGTGCATTAGCAGGACACTGTAATCAGGCGTGGGAGCCAGGACTGCATCCTGGGCACGCCAATGTAGGAGGCAGATGTCCTAACCAGCAACTTGACCACGGAACAGAATACCCACCCCAACACGGGATTTTTTAAAATGTGAAAGTTGAATCAAAAAGTTACAAGTAGATGTTGTATTATGCACAAAACAAGCATCATACCAGCATCTATGTCGCTAAGGATGGAGAGGATTACATGAGTTAGTACATGCCAGCGCCAGTTTTATTAGGTGTTGTTTGAATAATGCACAACTCCAGCCCCAATAAAATGCACCAATCTGAACCTTAAACATGATGAGACTATGAAAGGTCTAGTAGCTGAGAATGCACGCACGTCTCTACTGCAAGACTAAACACGTGAATGCTCTTCTGCAAGGGACGCGAGGCCCTGGTCCCGGGGAGAAAACCCTCTTCCCAATGACAGCCGCCCAGCGGGGAACGCCACTCGCACCGCCGACGCCACCTCACTCGCAAACAATTATCCGGGACTTCTGTTTTCAACTTTTCAGCATTCCATAAAGGAACCCACTCCTCCTCGGCGTGACAAGCTTTACCCGCATTGAGGTATTTTAGTCTCAAAATCCGGACTGTGGAGACGCGTCTTACACTCGAGGAGGGCGCAGCCGCCACGAGTCTGAGGCGGGGCTGGGGAGTCGGGTCCGCACCTCGCGGGGCGGCGGCAGCCTGCGGCCCCGAGCGGACACTGCGGGGCGGGAGCCCGGCCCCGCAGCCCGGCGTTCGCTCCGCCAGCTGCGGCAGAGCCCGGCCCCCGGTCGGGGCGGCCCCGGCGGGCAGAGGCGCGCGGTCCCGGGTGAGGGGCGGGGTGCGGGGTGCGGGGAGAGGGTGGGGCGCCTGACCGGAGTCGCGGGGCGAGGGGCCGGGGTCTCACAGCAGGGCGACCGGCCGCTCACCTTCCGACAGCTCCAGCTCCAGCTCGGCCAGGCTCTCCCGCAGCTCGGCGGGCAGCGGCGCCGCCTCCAGCGGGCCCCCGCGGTCGGCCATGGCCCGCGCCTCGCGGCCGGCGCGGCCAGGCTGGGCTGCGGCGCTGGCGGCGGCTACGTCGCTCCCGGCGGCCTGGAGCCCCGCATCGGCTCGCGGAGAGCGGGAGGCGGCGCAGCAGGGGCGAGGCGGGAGGGTGCCGCGAGCGTCGCGCGGGCACGGGTGCAGGCACGAGCGCGGGCGAGTCCCCCGCGCCGCCGCCCCGCGCGCCCCCGACGAATCGCGGGCCCTCCGGGAGCGCGCGTGCGCGGCGGACGGGGCGGGTAGGGAGCGCGTGCGCGCAGCGCGTGAGGACGCACGCGGGGACTGCCCGTCCCGCCCAGCAACACCGGAGGCCCATTTCTATTGGCCCAGAGGGCGCGTAGAGCCCACGACGGGCGCCCACTGGGAGAGGCGGGGAAATGTCACTCCCAGCAGGCTCTGCGCGAGGCTGGGCGAGGGCCGTGGGCTGAGGCGTGGTGTCCGGGAGTGGCGGCCTGCCGGTCGGCATGCTGTCCCCCGCCCCGCGGCGCCGCTGGCTTTGCCGCGTGGACTCGGAGCGCTCCCGCGAGGGCAGCGAGCACGCGCCGGCCGCTCTTTCCTCAGAACAGCCCGACACGGGGCTCGGTGACCGAGTGACGGCGGAGCTGCCAAGACCCGCGCAGGGAACCGGAGGCCAGTCGGGGCCTAGTGGAGCTAACATGCGAGGGACGAACAGGCGTCTGTGGACGCGAGCGCGCGGCGACCGCAGCCGCGTTGCCCAAGGTCGTACCCTGGGGCAGTCCGCATCCCATGACCGGGGGCAGGCCTGTAGGGCCGCTGGGACCACGTGGGAAGCAGTACTTGCTCGCGGTTCCCCAGGGACCGGCCAGAGCTTTCCCGGCCTGCGTAGTCCTCTGCTTCCTCCGCCAGATCCTGTTTACTGTTCACGGGTGTTGATACCAGATAAACTTCTTGTAGCCCAAACTCCACCTCAGCGTCTGCCTCAGGGAAAACCATCCTGCCACAGTGTACCAGGTAACAAGGACGGGGGTTGTGGCTGGATCACAAGTGGCCAGTTAGGAGGGTTAACCAGTGAAATGGGAAATACTAGCATACAAAATAAGAAAACGTTTCAAGTATGGAAATAATCCCCATATGGAAAATACAGGGCTGGGTAGCTTTTACTTGGCACTGCTGACCCTCTTAAGACAATGAACAGCGACAGCTGAAAACGAAGAGTCTCGGGGAAGATGGCACTGTGGTTAAGACGCTGGGCCCGCATCCCCTATCAGTGCCTGGATTTGAGGGCCAGCGCCACTACTGATTCCAATTTCCTGTTTGTGGACACTGGGAGGCAGCTGGTAGTTGGTCCTTGCCATTCACATAGACCTGGGTTGAATTTCTGGCCCCCAGTTTCAGCTTGGCGTTTGAGGGATGGACCAGCAGGTGGAGGATCTTTTTCTGTTTCAGATAAAATGAAAATCAGTAAGAATTAAAAAATGAAAGCTGAGTCTCTTCAATTGCATAGAAGCCCTATGTCCCACAGCAGGACAATCAAGACAAAGGCCAGGCTCAGAATTTAATGTCCCCAAGTGGTTATACTCCTGGTCAAATGCCTGGATGAACTCATTCTCATGCTGGTTGTGAAAAGCTGAGTCCATGACACGTGGGTTAGAGATATCTAGTAGATCCTTTCAAAGGTTTTGACACTCCCCCACCCCGCCTTGGGACCTGCCCATGTGGCTTGTCCATCTCCATTAATCTAGCACTACCCTTCCTTCCATCCACTGGACACTAGACATATGATTTTTTAACATAATTCAGCTTGATACAATGAAATAGTTCTTCCTACTCCAAAAACCTGTGTGTTTGTTTGCTAGGTCTTCATTAACAACATATGAAAAATTGGACACCTTGCCAAATTAATTTTTTATTTATTAGAGTTATATAGACAGAGACAGAAAGGACTTCCTTCCATTGGTTCACTCCCCAAATGGCCACCAAGGCCAGTGCTGTGCTGATCGGAAGCCAGGAGCCAGGTGCCTCCTCCCAGCCTCCCATGCGGGTTCAGGGGCCCAAGCACCTAGGCCATCCTCCACTGCCCTTCTTGGCCACAGCAGAGAGCTGGACTGGAAGAGGAGCAACCGGGACTAGAACCCAGCGCCCATATGGGATGCCGGCACCGCAGGCAGAGGATTAGCCAAGTGAGCCACAGCGCCAGCTCTGCCAAATTAGTAGTAAGAGTCCTGGGAGCTAAAAGTTGAGATTGAGATGTTTGGCAGAGCTGGTTCCATCCGAGGGCTGTTGCACAGAACCTGTTCCATGCCTCCTAGCTTCTGGTGGCTTTGGTAGATTCGGGACAAGGGGCCCTGAGGAACAATAATGCAGTCACTGGACCAGGTCACATCAGCCGAAGACCCCTCCACCCTGAACACGTTTGAGCACACCCTTTGCAAAATGGGTTAGTCTGGCTCTGACCTCTGCCTGACTCCATACAAGGACAAGTTTTTTTCACCTCAGTAAGGCGTATCTAAATGACAAAAAAAAAAAAAAAGATTCTAGCAGCTGCTCCCTGAGTGGCTCATAAGTTTTCATCTTATTAGCATATACAGCCACCAATCAAGGAAAGTTCCCCATTTAAAAACATCAAAACCCCTAGACAGGACTTCCTCACCTACCCCATTCTGGGGCCCTTCCCACCACTGCCAGCAACTTTCTCTTTGGCTTAATAAACTTCCCTCTGCATTGCGCACACTGCCTTGTCCATGTGCCTGAATCTTTGTGGACAGGAGAAAGAGCTGTAAAATTTTAAAAATTCAGCAGGAGGAAAAAAATCTGTGCAACAGTTTGTTGGCAATCTTTGGTGTCCTTGGCATACAGATGTATCACCCCAGTGGTCTGCATTCATGTTCTGGATTGGGGCCCACCATACTGACCTCATATTAATTTGGTATCTGCAAAGACCTACTTTGAAATGAGGTCACATTGACAGATACTGGGGCTGGGACTTAAGCATCCCTGTGGGGGAGGAGGACACAGTTCAACCCGTGACAAGCTGTAACATCCAGCCAACATACACACAAGATCTGGGAAAGCTTGTGCTTGATGAAGGGTCTGGAATGTAAAGTTGGGTCAGAGTTTACTGCTATATGAGCAGGCTTCCAAGACCAACGTTTAAATGCTTGCAGACTTGCTGAAGGGATGGCTCCTGAGATGATGATGTATCTGTTGACATAAATTATTACGTACCACATGAATCATCTCTGTGGTGACTCTGAGTTAGGGTATGGTGAGGGCAGCTTCTCTCTTCCACAGTATCTGGAGCAACTTAAACCCTGGAGGCTGGAGTACTATGAGGGTCCATTTTCCCACTGACAGGCTGGAGTACTGTGAGGGTCCATTTACCCACTGACAGTTGCTACTGGAGCCCAGATGGGTATGTCAGGCAGCATACTCACCCACGGCTGTTCCCTGCAGCCTCGGCTTCCTCACATTATGAAGGCTGGATTGCAAGCACAATCCAAAGACAGAGGGGGAAAAAGCCTTGTCCTTTGTTTGAACTAGACTCGTATCAGACAGCATCACTTCTTGCACTTCCTATTTGTTAGAAATTAGCCATCAAGGCCCAGCACTGTGGTACAGAAGGTTAAGCCTCCACCTGCAGCGCTAGCATCCTACATGGGTGCTGGTTCTCAAGTCCCGGCTGCTCCACTTCCAATCTAGCTCCCTGCTAGTGCACCTGGGAAAGCAGTCAAAGATGGCCCAGGTCTTTAAGGGCCCCCTGTACCCATGTGGGAGACTATGAAGAAGGTCCTGGCTCCTGGCTTCAGATCTGCCCAGCTCTGGCCATTTGGGGAGTGAACATGTGGATGGAAGACCAACCTTTCTCTCTCCCTCTCTTTGTAACTCTACCTTTCAAATAAATAATCAAATCATTAAAAATAAATTAGTCATCAGATCACCTGTATTCAAGGGGAGAAAAATTAAGTTCCAATTTCTAAAGTTAAGAGTGTTGCAAGAATGTACAGATGTATTTTTAAAACACCATGGCTATGGGCCATGGTATGCAAAGTTTAAATGGTCAAATTTCTGTGGCAGGCCAGCACTGCGGCTCAATAGGCTAATCCTCTGCCTGTGGCACCAGCACACCAGGTTCTAGTCCCGGTCGCTCCTCTTTCTGTCCAGCTCTCTGCTGTGGCCAGGGAGTGCAGTGGAGGATGGCCCAAGTCCTTGGGCCCTGTACCCGCATGGGAGACCAGGAGAAACACCTGGCTCCTGCCTTCAGATCAGCGTGGTGCACTGGCTGCAGCACGCCAGCCGCAGCGGCCATTGGAGGGTGAACCAACGGCAAAGGAAGACCTTTCTCTCTGTCTCTCAGTGTCCACTCTGCCTGTCAAAAAAAAAATAAATAAATAAAAAAAAAAATTCTGTGGCAGACAGTAGTGGAAGGGAGTAAAAAGCTCAGGGATGTGAGCATACTTAAAGTTATATACTCCATGCTTCCAGAAGACCTACCAGGTTATTATGTTCTGCATGAAGACATAAATAACATTTTAAAAGGTTATCAGACATAGGCTGATGAAAGGGGCCCTGATGGCTCACCTTTAGGCAAAAACACCACCAGGAAAAGTTGTTCCAGAACTTGGCTGAGTGACAGTGATGAGTATGCTGGGATCTTAAAACAAAAGTGCCAAGGGAGCACCTACCTGATAAAGGACCACAATTATAATGGCCAGCAAGGTCTGAGTGACAGCCAAGGGAGACACCTTTAGGGAGTTACACAAATGGTTAATAAACATCATCCCCTTGAGGCAAAACAGATGGAAAGCTAAGAAGGGTACTGCTGGGGAAAAAAAAAAATCAAGGATGGATTAATTAAGACAATTGAGATGAGTTAAAAGTTAATAAAACAGGCCAGTGCTGCAGCTGACTTGGCTAATCCTCCAACTGCGGCGCCAGCACCCCCGAGTTCCAGTCCAGGTTGCTCCTCTTCCAGTCCAGCTCTGCTGTGGCCCGGGAAGGCAGTGGACGATGGCCCAGGTCCTTGGGCCCTGCACCCGCATGGGAGACCAGGAGGAAGCACCTGGCTCCTAGCTTCGGATCGGCGCAGCGCACCGGCCGTAGTAACCATTTGGGGGGTGAACCAACGGAAGGAAGACCTTTCTCTCTATCTTTCTCTAACTCTACCTGTCAAAAAAAAATTAATAAAAAACAAAATGCTAGGCTTTCAAGCCTTAGTTTCTGGATGTGAGCCAGTTTTCAGAAATGGAAACTTTACTGAAGAGATAGCCAGATACCACAGAGGGCCTGCAGCATCCCAGTTTACAAAGTTCTCCTAACATGGAAAAGTAATTAGCCAAACACTTTGAAGATGGTTGGACACAGGGTTTGAACTTTGGTATCCAGACACCTGACTCATCATTCCCTATTACAGTTGCTGCATATAGTGGCTAGAACCTGGTAGGACAACTTGGCAGTTTCTTCCCCAGACACCAAGTGAACAGTTGGTATTGAAACAACTGACAGTTAACATTCACATTGGAGTTAACAGATACAATGGGAAAGGCCAAATGGAACCCTGAAATGGCCTCATCCCTTACTGAGATTAAAAAACAGTATCATATCTGTGAGTGGGAAGATATGTGCCACTTTTTTTAAGATTTATTTATTTACTTGAAAGAATCACACAGAGAAGGATAGGCAGAAAGATCTTCCATCTGCTGGTTCACTCCCCAAATGGCCACAATGGCTGGAGCTGGGCCTGTCCAAAGCCAGGAGCCAGGCACTTCTTCCCACATGGGTGCAGGGGCCCAAGCATTTGAGCCATCTTCTGCTTTCCCAAGTGCATTAGCAGGGAGCTGGATCGGAAGTGGAGCAGCTGGAACTCAAACCAGTGCCCATATGGGATGCCAGCACTGCAGTAGGCAGCTTTACCCTCTATGCCACAGCAATGGCCCCAAGATACTGCCATTTCTAAGGACATAGAGGATATAAGGGGTTGATCTCAAACATTTGATTCACCAGCGTGACAACCTCCTCTGCTTTGCTGTCAGTTGTTTGAGGTACATAATTGCAGACCACCAAGAATCACAGGTAGCAGCCTCTGTGACAGACTGGCTGTTGGCCTAGTGGATGTGTTCTTTTATGTCTATCAGAAAAGAAGACCAGAAACATTCACATGGAACAAAAATACAGTTTTGCCTGATGGTTCTGTTACCTCTCTTGTTCTCTCTCACAGTCCAGAGATCTTGATCACTTAAGACAACCTGGATGGGGCCGGCGCCGTGCTCATTTGGCTAATCCTCCACCTGTGGCGCCAGAATCCCATATGGGCACCGGGTTCCAGTCCTGGTTTCTCCTCTTCCAGTCCAGCTATCTGCTGTGGCCCGGGAAAGCAGTGGAGGATGGCCCAAGTGCTTGGGCGCCTGCACCCGCGTGGGAGAACAAGAGGGGGCACCTGGCTCCTGGCTTCGGATCGGCATAGCTCCGGCCATGGCAGCCATTTGGGGGGGTGAACCAACAGAAGGAAGACCTTTCTCTCTGTCTCTCTCTCTGTCTGTAACTCTATCTGTCAAATAAATAAAAAGACAACCTGGAGAATAACACGTTATTCCTTTCCATCAGTGAGCAAGAGGTAGAGAAGACGCTGGTGATAATACTGGTGATACACATATAGCTGCTCCAGAGTAGGAGATAAACCACAGAAATTCAAGGGCTTGCTGCATCCTAATATTTTTAGAGGTTCAGTGATCAAGTGTGCTCTAGGAAATCCCTTCCAAAAGTAAAAGAATTGTATCTTGAACCTCCTACCATTAAGAAAGCAATAGTTCCTGAGCTGGTTCTTGCTACAAGTGCTGGAAGCAACATATTCCACACCTGGAAATACTGTTCTGGCCCCAATACTGGGGGATCTGGGAGACTGTCAGATCTAAAAAGAGCCCAGACAGGAAAAATCTCAGCAGTACTTCCAGACTGTGATGCCAGCTGTCCTACTGCCTGGGCCACATGGCCTAGTAGTTATGAGAACGGCAGGGAATAATGCAATGTGGGGTTTCAGGCAGGTTTCAAGGGGGAGATTTACAAGGTACGTTGTCAGGACTTCCGAAACAATAGGATCTTTCAGAGAGAGAGACAGAGAGAGAAAGGTCTTCCTTTGCCGTTGGTTCACCCTCCAATGGCCGCCATGGCCGGCACGCTGCGGCCGGTGCACTGCGCTGATCCAAAGGCAGGAGCCAGGTGCTTCTCCTGGTCTCCCATGGGGTGCAGGGCCCAAGCACTTGGGCCATCCTCCACTGCACTCCCGGGCCACAGCAGAGAGCTGCCCCTTGTGACCCCCCACCCCAAGTTTGTGCTTGTGAAGTGACTCATAGTCCCAACCCTTCAGAATGAGTTGGGACTTGGAGCAGCAGCCCCAAACCTCTGAAGAGGGAAGGGGCTGGAGACAAGAGTTCAGTCATATGACCAATAATATGCTCAATCACAACCATGTAATGAAGCCTCAATAAAATCTAACACAATGAGGTTTTGGGAGCTTCAGGGTCAGTGAACACACCGATGTGCGGGGAGGGTTCCCTCAACACCTGTCCTACACACTGCTTCCATGTGGCTGTTCCTGAGTTGTATCCTTTATAATAAACCAGTAATCCCAAGTATAGCACTTTGAGGCATTCTAGCAAACTCTCAGATCCAGTGGCACAAAGAATGGGTGCCAGGCAGGAAGGGGGGTTGACTACTACAAATTTGTAATTGGTTGCACAGAACCGTGGGTAGTCTGGGGTCCTTCCACTTGTGTCTGATGCTTGAAGTGGGAGTAATCTTGTGGGACTGAGTACTCAACTCAGAGCATTAAGAATTGAAGGACTTTGTCCTTAACTTGTGGAGTCCATGCTATCTCTGAGTAGTGCCAGAATTTAACTGTAAGACACCAAGATGGTTTTAGAGAATATGCTGGGAAACAACATGAGGCGAGACTCAAGCAGACCAGGCAAAGACCAGCTGTGCTATCCCCCAGCATCCATCCATTCTTGTCCTAGTGTGAATGTACTTTTCCTGCCTCAAACTCATTTGCAGGCTTTCCAAATTCCTTATTCTCCATAACTGCTTCTAACCAGAAAACTCTCACAGCCAAGTGTGACACAGGATTATGACCATGGAGTACCCCATCACTCAGAAGTAGCTTACCCAAGCATGTTGGAAAGGCCCACTGAAGGCTGTTAGCCTGCCAGATTAATGTACCATCAGTACGGAATGCCATTCCTCTCACAGCCAGAATCTGCTGGCTTGAGAACCTAAGAGCTAAGAAGGAATGGCTCCTTCTATGGTCTGTCCCCTCTAGAACTCATGGTGGAGATTAATCCCCATCGTAAGGTATTCAGAGAACTTAACCCAACTGTGGTGTTGAGAGATGAGGCTTTTCAGAAAGGATTAGAATTAGATAAGTGTATCCCCCCCATGACTGAGTCATGATGGCTTCATAAAAAGAGAACACATTCCCTGTCTCTTGCCAAGTGATGCCCTGCACCACCTTAGGACGATGCCAGCAAGATGGCCACAACCAGAGGCAGTTTCTCAACCCTGGGTCAGAGCCATGAACCAAAGTAAACCTCCTGGTCCCCCCCACCCCCACCCCATTTATCTGAAAGGCAAAGAGAGACACACAGATTTCTCATCAGTTGGCTCACTCCCCAAATGCCAGCAACAGCTGGTGCTAGGACAGAGCAAAGCCAAGAGCTGAGAACTCAAATCTGGGTCTCCCATGTGGGTGTCAAGGACTCAAATACTTGAAGCATCACTTGCTGCCTCCCAGGCTTTGCATTATCAGGAAGCTGGGAACTTGAACCCAGGCTTTCTGATATGGGGCACAGATGTACCAAATGGTGTCTTAACTGATAGGTCAAACACCCACCCCTGAAACTCTTCACAACTCACCCAATCTGTGGCATAGTCACTGGCAACAGAAAACAGACTAAGACAGCTCTTACTGTTACGTCAAGTAAGTCCTGAAGGAATTCTTGCTTCCTTTCCTATTACTTTGTGCTCTGTGGCCCCGTACAAGTAATGCATCCATCAGATAGGACACAATGGCCCCCACTGAACTCATAGTTCAGACTCCTGCCTGAACTAACAAACAGGAATAGAGTAACTGCACTAGTTAGTGCTGTTGATGCCAAGTTCCAAGAGGAAAGTGAGCGGCTGGTACATACTGGGGACAGGAAACTTGTATCTGTGTCTGGTGTCTTCACTGGGCACCTCTTGGTCCTTACTACTTTCTGCTTTGATTGTAGAACAAGCAAAAAGGAAGTCCTCTAAAGGCAGGACATTAAGGCCTCAAATCTTGCCAGAAGGTGGATTAGGTCATCTGACCAGTGATATTGCTGGTTTGGGATCAGAAAACAAGGTTCAGGTGATGGAAGCAAGAGCCAGTCAATACCAGTGAGAACCCTGTCACTAGTTCCATAAATAAATACCAGCATTTTTCAATTCAGTGTTTGCATTGAACAATTTCTTCTTTCCCCTCCTCCCCTGTTTTGTATGACCCGAGTGGTACATTAACTTTACTGACTAGTTCATAGATGACCAAATCACCAGGAGCTGACCCAGTCCCAAAGGTAAAGTCTAGCTCCTGGAGAGCCTAGCCTGTTGTGATGATGGCAACTTATGAGCCTTAGAGAAAAGATCAGAGCATCTTGGGAACACTGGCTTTGTGGGAGGTAGGTGTGGTCTTCATAATGAACATGGGTAGAAAGGTGAGAACAAACACTGAGAGGAACCAAGGGTAGATGAGGCTGCTCATCTGCCTGTGTGCTTTCAAGCTGCTTCTTGCCAGTTCTTCCCCTGAAAAATAAGGAAGCTGACTTTTGCCAGGAACCTATCCCCGAGGCTCCTTTCCCTAGTTTTAGGGAATGGGATGGCAAATGGGAAAAGATGTGCATTTTGCTCCTTGTCACTCTGCCACAGGCAGCCTCTCTGGTAGCCGATGCATTTTCTCTGTGGGTTCAGCTCCCATCAGAGGGGCACTGGCCTCCTCAAAGGAGTCCCAGCAACAACATCATGGTTCCTTCAGTCCCAGGGGACATCTTGTAGCTGCTGCCACCCATGGCAATAGTTTGTGTGCTATCTCGTGTTGCAGGTCTCCCAGTGTCAGAGGAACTGCTAGAGTCTGAATGGGCTTTTCTCCTGAACTCATGCACTTAAACCCCAAAGTTGTGGTTGGCAGTAGGTACTACAAAGATGGACTTGATCCAGTTAAGTTATCCAGGAGGTAGGAAGTCCCTATGGTCACTGGGGATATGCTGTTGAGAGAGGGTTGGTTGTGAACACTGAGGTGAGCCAAGCCTCTTTCTCTGCTTCCTTGCTCACTGGGCAGTTTTTCTCTGCATGAGCTCGGCCATTGCCATCCTCCAGCCTCATCAGAAGCCAGACCTATGAGTGAGGCTGCCCAACTGCACACTGGGAGCTGCTGCTTCCTTCATGAGTAACTTATCTCAGGTATTTGTTACAGCGACAAAACACTAACACAGTAAGTAACCAAACCTTTCTGTTGCACCATCTCAAATGGTTTCTGTTTTCCAGCCTGGACTCTGACACAATACTCTGTTTCATTAAGGCATTTCAGGGTCAGACATTAGCTGATCATAATGTACTTTTCAAATCCATCATTTATAAAAACTTTCCAATAACCACATGCTAACTAGATTTAATGTTTTTAAAGATTTTGCCATATTAGTCTGTGTATATGTATACATTTTTACAAAGGTGTCCATATAACTTTTTTAACTGAACCATTTCAAAGCAAGTTGTATATGTTTTGGCTCCATCCTTAAATCATTCAGCACAGAAACCTAAGAAAAACATACCCTCTTACACAACCATTATCACATCCAAGAAAATTAACTATAGTTCCTCTAAAATCTGCTATCCAGTACAGATTATATTTACCTACTTGTACATACAATGTCTTTACAGCAGCTGGCCTTCGTCCAGTTTAGAAACCAATCAAGTGTGCCCCACACTTCCTGCACCTTGGTCTCCTCTGACCTGGACTAGGCTGTGCACCTTGTTTTTGCTGACACCATCTATTGGATGACGCTGAGCCAGTTACTTGTTGTCACTGGCCCTTCTTTGTTCACCTATAAACTGGAGGCGAGAGTGAAGGCCTTGGTCATGCTTGAGGGAAGCACTGGGCAAGAGTGCCCCGCAGGTGCTGCTGCACCTCATGGACCTCAGCAGGAGGCAGGTTCTGAGCTGCAGTTAGTTTGACACACAGTTAAGATATGGATGGCTAGATCTCTGCATTGTAAAACTCAAGAGTCTGAGGCTGGCACCGTAAAGGTAAAGCCGCCATCTATGGTGCCAGCATCCCGTATGAGCACCAGTAAGAGACCCAGCTACGCCACTTCTGATCCAGCTCCCTGATAATGGCCTGGAAAAACAGTGGAGGATGGCCCAGGTCCTTGAGCCCCTGCACCCACATGGGAGACTTGGAGGAAGCTCCTGGCTCCTGGCTTCAGCCTGACCCAGCTCTGGCTGTTTTGGCCATTTGGGGAGTGAACCAGTGGATGGAAGATCTCTCCCTCTCTCTGTGTTTCCTTCTCAGTCTGTAACTCTTTCTCCCCTCCCCTCCCCTCCCCTCCCCTCTACTTTCCTTTCCTATTTATCTGAAGGTCAGAGTTACACAGAGAAGAGAGGCAAAGAGAGGTCTTCCATCCACTGGTTCACTCCCCAGATGGCCGCAACGGCTACAGTTGCGCCAATCCAAAGCCAAGAGCCAGGTGCTTCTTCCAGGTCTCCCACACGGGTGCAGGGGCCCAAGGACTGGGGCATTTTTCACTGCTTTCCCAGGCCATAGCAGAGGTGGATAGGAAGCAGAGCGGCCCAGACTCGAACCAGCGCTCATACGGGATGCCAGTACTGCAGGCGGTGGCTTCACCCATTACGCCACAGTGCCGGCCCCCTGTAACTCTTTCAAATAAATCTAAAAAAAAAAAAAAAAAAAAAAAAAAAGTGAAATTTCACCTTGGTGCTAGTATTATGGATGAGCCTAACCTGAAATGCTTACTTCACTGTGGCTGCAAAAGGCTGGTTCCCCAATTATGTCATTCTCTCTATATCAACTAGCTGGTGATCTTCTGTAAAGAATTTTTCCTCACCATGAAAGAGGGCCCACCTCTCCTGCATTAAAAGGCAGAGAGAGTCCTTCTTTCTCTTTATTGCCATCCATGGTAGCAGTTGTTATTATGGTCACCTCCACTGGGCCCTTTCCAGATCTAGTTCTTGGGTCCCACTCCGGCTCCAGAGCAGGACGGCAGCTCCTGGGAAAGGATGAAGAGCTGTGCACAGTGACCTTCTCATGTGGCTGCATCAGTGCTGACGGGGGACGGGAAAACCTGTTGCCAAAATGGTAAAGTAATGATCTGCAGACAGTTGTTTTACATTAAAGCCTAAGCTCAGGTCCTAAAGAAACACTGAAATACTTACACTTGCAGAGCAGTTTTGGGTAAATGAAGTTTGTCTGGAGCTCAGGTTTGGGGTTAGGGGAATGGTGTTAAGTGAGCGTGAAGAAAAACAAGATAGTAGTTCTGAGAGGTACGTAAGTAATGGCAGCATCTCACAAAAATAAAACCACAACCAAGTAAAATTAAACGACAGGCAAGTGGCCATTTGTCTTTACTAAGAATGATTCAAGTTACAGTGAAAATTCTTAACTTAGGGCCGTTTAACATAAATTCTATGGGTTTCTGTTTTTGTTTTTTGTTTTTTGATTTTGTGTTTTTTGTTTTGGTTTGGTTTTTTGCCAGTGAGAAAAGCAAACTAGAAGAAACTAAAAGGAAACAAAACACAAATACAACACATGGGCTATTCACAAATAAAACAGTGCTTCAATTTTATTCCTTCTTTTGTGTGTGTGTGTTTTCATTTTTAAACAAACTTCCCATCTATACACTTTAATAAACAACAGGAAGCCTTTTTCCGCTTACCCTTTTTGAAGGCAAGAGGGGTAGCTCCACCAGCATGCACAGAACACTGCACGCCTATCACCACAGGAGCACTGGTTACCTCCTGATGCACAGAACCAGAGGTACGAGATGACAGAAAATGCTCCACTGGGCATTTCAGCAGTGCAACAGTGTGGGGCCACATAGTGGCTCTCAGGGGCTAGCACCACAAATATGTGACGAGTGCCCTATGCCACATCCTAAGCTCTTCTTAGGAAAGAAAATAATCTTTGCCTCAAATAGAACTGTCACAGGTAAGAGCCACAGGAGTTTATTCATTGTTTAATCTTCTGGCGGCAGGATTTCTTTGAAGTAGAATCTAAATATGAATAAATATGAAATAGCAGTTTGTTATAAAAAGCTTCACATCTCTTTTAAGAAGAATTTCATAATTTTAAAAAATTTCACTGAATTCATCTAAATTTTGGTAAAATGCAATTAAAACATATTGTAATTGAATTATACTGCTTAAGAAACCTTGAGTCAGTTATATCCTGGCCAAAACATGTTTCTGTCCTTGTCAGTGGGAGAGGAAGGCAAGAGAGTTCAGCTGGTACTCGAGTGAGAGGGATCCCAGCTCTGATCGCAGAGTACACCTGGCTCACATTCCTGTGAGTGTGTTCACTTAGGTTCTTTATTCTAATATCATTAGTGACATTTGATTATTAAAATTGAAATTAGAATTACTAAGCTGAACACCTGCAATCCTTCATCCACTATTTCAAACTTCCACAATCAGCTACTGTAGAGGACTTGGGTTACCTGGTTGGACTCCCTCCAGCCTTCGCTGGATCATTTCTAAATGGTGAATATATTCTGTCAAGGAATGTTCTGGGTCTTGAGAAGCAGTCAGGGATCTTTCTAATCTTGAATTTGGAGATGGAGTAGATCTTCAAACAAAGCATCATACCAAGAAAAAAAAAAAAAGAGAGAGAGAGGGGTGCACTTAACAGATTGTACCATGGTGAGAGCCACAGGCCTGCTGACTAGACATGCAGGAATTGGGTCAAGTGCAGGGCTGTCACCATAAGAAAAAAAGCAAAGATTTTTTAAAAATGCTACATAGTGCTTTAAAAACCAACTTCTGTATCATGTCTCAGGGTTAAAATGTATAGAAATTCTTGTATAGCACTTCACCTCTAAGTCTTCTAGTGCCCATCTATTACCCAAACTGGACTACACACCAGTGCCCCCCAGACCCAAACCTGTCTGAGGGGCAGCCCAACCACCTAATTGCCTTCTCTGACCTTCCCAAAGTTTCTTTTTCTCTAGGGTAAACCCCACAACCACCCAAGCCTCGCGCAGCTATCCTTCCTCCAAGTTTTCCACTAAGCCCAGGAACGGTGTCATTTTCCACTTCCCACCTGAGGAACTTTCTGGTCTCTCAAGGGCAGGGGGGAAGATGCCTTCCTCACCCACACACCATCACATGTGAAGGGGGCCCTGAGCAACCCACACCATGTTCTGTGGCACCACAGCCACCAGACAACCCCATGACCTCCCTGACCAGAGCTGCACTTCTAGGGTCCTCCAAGGAACCACGCTTACTTGCCCTGGGCCTGGCTAGCCCCGAACTTTTCAATACAGCTCTCTGAGGAACAGCACAGAGTGGCGGGCAGTCACTCGCAGAGTGAAACATCACAACTACCTCTCCCTCCTGCCTGGAGGGGCTGCCGCAGGTCCAGGGCCTCGAGCAGTGTCTCCAGTGGGGCCTGAAGACGTGTTCTGGGGTGGAGAGGACTCTCTGGTTTCAGGTGGAAAGTGCCGCTGCTGCTGCCGTGACATTCGGCGTCCTTCTCCCAGAATTATTTAATGACAAAAGGATTATGAAACGAAATGAATCAATTAAAAAGTTTAAATGATGAGCGTTTAGAAGTCTGCAAATCAACTTCAAACATTTTAAAGTATCCAAGTTCTGTTATTATATTTTCAAAAGCTTTGGAGGAACCTGACTTTGACCACCTACTTAGAACGCTTGTGAGGCTGACCTTGGCCCCTTGCACCCACATGGGCAGGCCACTGCTGAGGAGGCACCCAGAAGGGGCACAGAGGGGCAGACTTTCTGAATGGCCTGAATGGATGTGGTACCACCAGTAAAGGCCAGCACCAAGGCCGCCAGCAGTGGCCCAGGTCGCCCGGGGAGACAGGTGACCACTCCGGTGTTCTGTGCCAAGTGGGAAGGACTGTCATGGCTGTCACCCTAGAGAATGGACAAGGGCCCATCTGAATATCCCAGTGTGCAGTCCGCTCCTCTGCCTTTAACAGTGTGGCTGGCTGTGCACTCTGCGTGTGGGAGCAGCGGCAGAGAACTTCAGAGACAAGATGTGGCTAAGCCCCAGAAGCAATGGCATTCTGAGGGACAGATGCATCAGTGTGATGTGGAACTTTAGCCGATGCTGGAAAATAACAAAGGCCATTGTATTAAACACTAATTATGAAAAAAATACATTTAGCATTTTGATTCTGTCAATCATTAATAGGCTCCTCTGGGCCATTTCTACTAAGAGATGGTAACTTTCTGTGCTTGTTCATCCTGTCTGTGACAACTGCATTACATGAATTCACCAATGCTCTATTGTTCATGCCATTTCCACTGAATATGAGAACGACCAAGATCTTTGCGGAAAAGCTCTGAGGATCACAGCTGTTTGAGGGCAGCCAAGTCACACCTGGGCGGGGAGCTTTGCCTTGGGTCAGGGTTCCTTTCCGATCTACTTCTTGCCATTTCTTAACCAAAAAACGTAATCTATAAAAAAAAGGAGACAAAACTTACTTAGAACCAGAGTAAAGCAAGAATGAAAGGAGCAGTTAAAATGCCAACATGACTAAACCAGCATGATTGGACGTTGCTGCCCAGTGAGGCACAATGAGCCATGACCATCGGGGCTGTCAACAGGCTGAGGAGTCAGGGGCTCCCCTGGAGAGCTCTCTATGCTCCCATGTCTTAGTACCACCTGACGGAGCCCTCACTGCTGCACCTATGACCCCACCGCAGACCACCCCTCCTTGCCTTTCCCAGACTCCCACATGACACAGCCAGACCCATCACATTCAGGCTCAAATCAAGCACCCAAGTGCACGAGAATGACATGCTGCTCACTCCTGGTTTTCATGACTGTCTCCATCCCATCACCTGAGAGGCTCCAGACAGAGACGTGAGGGAACAGAGTGCACTGAGGCTGGGGAAGGCTGAGAACACAGGAGCCCAGGGGTGTCTCCTATCACCACCTTCTGCCTGGGACACTGGGCCGGACAACAGGACAAGAGTGCCCAAGCAGCCTACTCTGCACAGTGCTCAGACGGGGCTGAGCAGAGCCTTGGGGAGGCACAGCTGAGCACCAGGGCGCAGACACAGTTGCACAGTCCTTAGCAGGACTAACATTTTCCAAAATTCCGCAAATTTTAGGGGCCGGCAATATGGCATTGCTGGTAAAGCCACTGCCTGGAACACCAGCATCCCATTTAGGTGTTCCACTTCCAATCCGGCTCCCTGTAACGGCCTGGGGAAAGCAGTGGAAGATGGCCTAAGTGTTTGGGCCCCTGCCACATCTGGGGAAGACTGGATATGGCTCCTGGCTCCTAGCTTTGGCCTGGCCCAACCCTGATCACTATGACCATTTGGAGAGTGAACCAGCGGACAGAAGACCTCTTGTCTCTTCCCAACTCTCTGTAACTCTCAAATAACTAAATAAATCTTAAAAACCAAAACAGAACACAAGATTCAGTCGATTTTAAAAGTATATGATAGGGGCCAGCACTGTGGTATAGCAGGTAAGGCCGCCGCCTACAGTGCTGGCGTCCCATACGGGCACCAGTTCGAGTCCTGGCTGCTCCACTTCCAATCTAGCTCTCTGCTATGGCCTGGTAAAGCAGTAGAAGACGGCCCAAGTCCTTGGGCCTCTGCACCCACGTAGACCAGCTCCTGGGGCCAGTGCTGTGGCATAGCAGGTAAAGCCACTACCTGCAGTGCCGGCATCCCATATGGGCGCAGGTTCGAGTCCCAGCTGCTCCACTTCTGATCCAGCTCTCTGCTATGGCCTGAGAAAGCAGTAGAAGATAGCCCAAGTCCTTGGGCCCCTGCACCTACATGGGAGACCTGGAAGAAGCTCCTGGTTCCTGGCTTTGGATCAGCACAGCTCTGGCTGTTGTGGCCAACTGAGGTGTGAACCAGCAGATGGAAGACCTCTCTCTTTCTGCCTCTCCTTCTCTCTCTGTGTAACTCTGACTTTCAAATAAATAAATAAATCTTAGAAGTAAAAAAAAGGAAGAAGAAGCAGCTGGCTCCTGGCTTCAGATCAGTGCAGCTCCAGCCATTGTGGCCAACTGGAGAGTAAACCAGCATATGAAAAGACCTCTGTCTCTCTGCCTCTCCTCTCTCTGTGTAACCCTGACTTTCAAATAAATAAATAAATCTGTAAAAAGAAAAAGCATTTGATAAAATTAACTTTCATCACTGTGAATTCTGAAATTCCCAATAGCACCAGAGAGCACATTCCTGCTCCAGAATGACAACTCTGGGCAAATAATGGCTGGGAAGCCAAGGGTGCCTTCTCAGGAAAGACATGGAGGTGGATCTGGGTGTGCCAGACCACGGTGGCAGGTCAGGTCCCAGAGTGCTGCAGAACAGTGTGAGGACAGCATGGCCGCCACACGCATGCGCTCCAGACCACCCCCATCGATGAGTCATGCATTTAATGCACATAACACAAGTCTGACTAAAATATTAGCAAACTGGAATTTACAAAATGAAATGCAGTTTTACACCTGAATTGATGTATCTGTTGTCACAAAGATTCCTGGCATGAAAGCTGTCATGGGACAAGACATTCCTTTGTAACAAAATCTTTTAGTTTTAGGTGACAGTTTGGTACAACATAACTTCGTGAAGACAAGTGGCATCACCCTTTAGGGCCACAAGTGCCATTCACATCAAAACAGGAAATCTCGCAGCTTCAGGAATAAAATCACCTAGGAACCCTAAATGGGCCACCTGCTGGATTGGCTGTGGGCATTTACCGTGATATGGCGATGACTACCCTGACAGCAGTGCGGAACTTCGTGAAGGGGCGAGATGCACTTGCTTTCTTATCTGCCTTGGAGGGAAACACCCCCAGGTGTGCAATCATGGAGAGGGTTTCTTGTTCAGAATCCTGGAATCCACCAATCAACAGCAACAGATACTTCTTCTGATAGATCAGGGCTTTTCTAAAGCTCTCTGCTCTCAAATAATGCAGGTATAATTTTTCCATCTAAAAGAAAAAAGAAAACAACGAAACTGAATCCACAGGAAACAAGGACATCTTGCAGGCCAGCCTCGCAGGGTACATTCCTTAGCTGCTCTTCCCACAAACCCACGGTCTGCTCCTCAGTGTATGCACAGAAGCATCTGCAGCCAGGAACCACCATGCACTGAAATGGGAACTTTCAATTTTGATGTTCCAAAATGAAAACCGTTTTCTCCAGCCAAATCAAACATATTCTTAAGCTGATGTAACTTTACAACTGCAAAAATACTTTGTATATTAAAAAGAGTTGTTAACCAGACTGTAGAAGCACAAGCCTCTTCTCCACACCAGCTTCAAAGGAGCCCAGGGGGGTTCCTGGGCTCTACCCACGTAAGGTCCTAACCAGGTGGGATGGCTGAGATCGCACCCCAGGGCCCGGGGATGTCATGGTGGAGGTAGCAGGGGACGTGGTGTGAGGCCAGGAAGCTGGTGACTGAATCCTAATTTGCATTTGTCCTCAGAAGAGGGCCAACAGCTTATCCCCACGTTGTCAAAAACCATGACTGGAAAAACAGTGGCCCAAAATGTTCTCAGCATCACACTCCATCCACTCTGCAGCACAGAAACGCAGCATCTACACACAAGCAAAGTTTATTCTACTTCTCATTCCGTGGAGTGACCTGACCACCAGAACTTTCATGCCACGCTCTGAGAGCAGCACACAGCTGCTTCTATGTGCCAGTGGATAAGCCCAGCAAATGAGAGCCTCCTGGTCCTGAAAATACTTTTGCCTGCAAATAACCAACTCAAGAGCAGCTTCCTGCGCCCCCAGTTCTGCTTAGATGTCTGCCAGGTCTTACTTTGACGTTGCAGGTGTTTGCTTCCTGGCTTGCAGCTGGCGTAGGCCGTGCTGGTGAGATCTGCAGAGCTGTCCCCTCTGGCTTCCATGCAGACCGGTCTGACTTCTGCAACAAACCACAACAGTGCCATCTACAGAGCTGTTCTTCAATGAAAACAGCTTGAGAAAAGTGACTAAGAGTAGGGTAAGGCAGGAGAGAACAAACAGCCCCTGCTCCAACATTGACAGAGCTGCTCCCAGGACTTCTGCAGGGAGAGAACCCAAAAGGGAGGCTGGATGCACAAGGCCGCCATGCCAGGACCCTGCAGAGGCTTTGCTGACTTGACTGTGCACCATGGTCACCCTCTTCAGTTCCCGAGTCTCCTGAGGGGTGCCCAGGCTGTTAAAGACATCTGAAGTCTGACAGTTAACATGCCATTTATTAACATAGGACTGCACAAAAGGTACACTGTAGTAAAAACAAAAAACCCAAATATCTGTAAATGACTTCAGATTCAAAAGCTTAAAGGCTTGTAGGCTTATATTCAAGTGCGTGTGTGGAACCTTGAAAGATTGAATAGTGGGTATGAGAACAACCTTGGTAAACTGAAAAGAACTAAAATTCTTCAAAGTATGTTTTCTGACAATAATGGATTTAACCAGAAATCAAAGGCGAAAAGATATCTGGAAAATCCCCAGGTGTTTAGAAATTAAACAGTATTCTCGTAATGACCAAGGGGACAAAAAGGAAGTCCAAGAGAAATGACAAAATATTTTGGGTGCCAGTGTCCTGGTACAGAGGTTTAGGCCGCCACTTGACACCAGCATCCCACATTGGAGTTCCAGTATGGCTATCTAAGGAGTGAAACCAGTAGATGGAAGCTCTCTCTCTCTCTCTATGTGTCACTCTGCCTTTCAAATAGATGAATAAATAAATCTTTTTAAAAAGAATATTAAGCATTAAATGCTTATGTAAAAAAAGTCTCAAATTAATAATTTAAGCTTCCAATTTAAGAAACTACCAGAGGAGAGCCAACTGAACCCAAAGCAATCAGACGGAGGGAAATAATGATCATTTTTTTTTCTTTTTTCTTTTTTTTTTTTTTTTTTGACAGGCAGAGTTAGACAGTGAGAGAGAGAGACAGAGAGAAAGGTCTTCCTTTCCCATTGGTTCACCCCCCCCAAAGTGGCCGCTACAGCTGGCGTGCTGCACTGATCCGAAAAGCCAGGAGCCAGGTGCCTCCTCCTGGTGTCCCATGTGGGTGCAGGGCCCAAGGACCTGGGCCATCCTCCACTGCTTTCCCGGGCCACAGCAGAGAGCTGGACTGGAAGAGGAGCAACCGGGACAGAATCCAGCGCTCCAACCAGGACTAGAACCCGGGGTGCTGGCGCCACAGGCGGAGGATTAGCCAAGTGAGCTGCGGCGCCAGCCAATAATGATCATTTCCAATGGAGGCAGGGGAACATGCAGACACTGTGGTGTGAGGGTTAAGCCACCACCTGAGATGCCTGCATCCGTATGGGAACACTGGAGACTGAGTCACACCTTCACTTCTTATCTAACCTTCTGCTAATGCATACCATGGGAGGCAGTAGGTGATGGCTCAAGTCCTTGGGTCCCTGCCACCCATATGGGAGACCTGTACATAGTCCTTGGCCTTCTTTTGGCCTGGTCCAGCCCTGGCAGTTGTGGGCACTTGGAGAGTGAACCAGTGGATGGAAGATCCATTGGTCTGTCTACCTTTCAAATTTAAGTAAATTAAAAAAAAATTGAAAACAGAAAATCTAGGGAGATTTTCATTAAAACAAAAAACTAGTTCTTTGGGCATGGGGAATCCAACTTTAGGCTCCAGGGAGACTGACCTACCCCCACCCCAGAGGCCACAAATCACCAACACTGGGAACTACAGTACTTGATACAAAAAACACACACTGAGGCCAGCATTGTGGCGTGGTATGTTGGGCCTCTGCCTGCGACACCAGCATCCCATATGGGTGCTGGTTGGAGACCCAGCTACCCCACTTCTTTTTTTTTGTAAAGATTTATTTATTTATTTGAAAATGAGAGTTACACAGAGAGAAAGAAAGGCAAAGAAAAAAAGAGAGAGAGAGAGAGAGAGAGAGAGAGAGAGAGGTCTTCCATCCGCTGGTTCACTCCACAATTGGCCTCAACGGCCAGAGCTGTGCTGATCTGAAGCCAGGAGCTTCTTCCAGGCCTCCCACGCTGGTACAGGGGCCCAAGGACTTGGGTCATCCTGTACTGCCCTCCTAGGTCATAGCAGAGAGCTGGATCAGAAGTGGAGCAGCCGGGACTCGAACCGGTAGCCACATGAGATGCTGGCACTGCAGGTGGCAGCTTCACCCACTACATCACAGTGCCCGCCCCTGCCCCACTTCTGATCTAGCTCCCTGCTAATAGCCTAGGAAAGCAGTGAAGTATGGCCCTGCTTGGGCTGCTGCATCCATGTGGGAGAAACCCAGAAGAAGCCCTGGGCTCCTGGCTTTGGCCAGACACAGTTCATCCATTTTGGCCATCTGGGGAGTGAACCAGCAGATGGACAATCTCTATCTCTTCCTCTAATTCTGCCATTTAAGTAAATAAAAATCAACCAAACACACACACACACACACACACACACATTGGTCTCTGGCTATGGTGTTTGACATACATCTCCTGACAGCTTTGTGGATAGGGACTCTATGAGAATATTCAGATCTCACAGTTGCCCTTTAACCCCAGATCCCTTAAGATTTCCTAGAGGACAGAGCATCTTTTGCTCTAATAAGGACACTTGGTGGATCCTGGATGGCTCGGGGTAGGGGCTGGCTGCCAGGGGAATCAGCCATGTGATGTAAGGGCTGCAACTTTCAGTTCCACCTCTGGCCTCTGGGAGGGGAGAGAGGCCAGAGGGTTGAGCTGTTCCCCAAGGGCAAAGCTTCAATCAGTCATGCCGCACAACAGGCAGCGCGGACAGTAATTCAATCAGACACCCCCACAGCAGCACCGCTCCAAAAAGCCCAAAAGGCCAGCGGTGACTTAATCAACTGGGCTGCATGATGGTGCCTTTTCAGAAAATCCAAAGGACAGGGTGTGCAGAAGTTCCAATTACTGAACACGCTGGGCTTCCTGAGTCCTGGGGAGAGTAGACGCTTCACACCTCACCCTAGGAGGCCCCTCCTCCATCTGCTTTTTCACCTGTTTGCCCGTAACATCTTTTTTATGACAGGCAGAGTGGACAGTGAGAGAGACAGAGAGAAAGAAAGGTCTTCCTTTGCCGTTGGTTCACCCTCCAATGGCCGCTGTGGCCGGCGCACCACACTGATCCGAAGCCAGGAGCCAGGTGCTTCTCCTGGTCTCCCATGTGGGTGCAGGGCCCAAGTACTTGGGCCATCCTCCACTGCACTCCCTGGCCACAGCAGAGAGCTGGTCTGGAAGAGGTGCAACCGGGACAGAATCTGGCGCCCTGACCGGGTCCAGAACCCAGTGTACCGGCGCCACAAGGCGGAGGATTAGCCTAGTGAGCCGCGGTGCCGGCCCCCGTAACATCCTTTACAACAAGCAGCTCAACGACAGTGCCTCTCCGAGTGCTGTGAGCCCTCCTAGCAAACAAATTAAAACCTGAGACAAGGACATGGGAACCCCAATTTACAGCCAGTCAATTGTAACAGCAGAGGCCACAACCCCAGAGGGCAGTAACGGGGAGTGAGCCCTACATCTGTGGAACCTGTCACAAGCTCTGAGAGTATCACAGCCGAGTTAAATGCAGGATACTAGGTCAGTGTCTGCTGGAGAACTGCTTGCTGCTGGGAAAATCCCCACACGTTTTAGTGAGCAGAAGAAATAACCCCAGCTGTCATACATCTAATAAAACGTACCAAATCTGTAACTAAAAACATTCCAAACCAAATACATGAGGCCCAGATGATTTTACCAGTAAATTTTAAAAACATTTAAGTTAAAAATAGCACCACCTCTATATAATCTCTTTTTTTTTTAGATTTTATTTATTTATTTGAAAGTCAGAGTTACACAGAGAGAGAAGGAGAGGCAGCGAGAGAGGTCTTCCATCCACTGGTTCACTCCCCAATTGGCTGTAACAGCTGGAGCTGCACCAATCCAAAGCCAGGAGCCGGGTGCTTCCTCCCAGTCTCCCATGCAGGTGCAGGGACCCAAGGACCCGTGCCATCCTCCTCTGCCCTCCTGGGCCACAGCAGAGAGCTGGACTGGAAGAGGAGCAACCAGGACTAGAATCTGGGGTGCCGGCGCTGCAGGCGGAGGATTAGACAAATGATAATCTCTTTTAAGAAAACAGAGGCAGGGCCGGCGCTGTGGCGCAGTAGGTTAATCTTCCATCTGTGGTGCCGGCATCCCCTAGCTCTCTGCTATGGCCTGGGAAAGCAGCAGAGGATGGCCCAAGTACTTGGGCCCTGTACCCACATGGGAAACCAGGGGGAGGCACCTGGCTCCTGGCTCCTGATCAGCACAGTGGCCATTTGGGGGGTTAACCAATGGAAAAAGGAAGACTTTTCTGTCTCTCTCTCTAATTCTGCCTGTAATTAAAAAAAAAAAAAAAAAAAAAAAAAGAGAGAGGCACTGATGCCAATATATTTTCTGAGGCCAAATCCACATAAAGACAACACAATAAAAGAAAATGGAGCCCCATTTGCTCAGGAACCCTGGCAAGAAGTGCTCAGTAACATATCAACAAATCGAATAGAGACATACATACAAAGAATAACATGCCCCATTTAGGTGGGGATTTTTCAAGGACTACAAGGTAGACTCAACATTGAAAAACCAATATAATCCAGGGCCGGCACTGTGGCTTAGCAGGTAAAGCTGCCATCTGTAGTGCCGGCATCCCATATGGGTGCCAGTTCAAATCCCGGATGCTCCACTTCCAATCCAGCTCTCTGCTATGGCCTGGAAAAGCAGTTGAAAATGGCCCAAATCCTTGGGCCCCTGCATCCATGTGAGAGACCTGGAAGAAGCTCCTGGCTCCTGGCTTCAGACTGATGCAGCTCTGGCCGTTGCGGCCAACTGTGGAGTGAACCAGCAGGTGGAAGACCTCTCTCTCTTTCTTTGCCTCTCCTTCTCTCTCTGTGTAACTCTTTCAAATAAATAAA